GCCTACAAAGGAGAGACCAAAGCCAGCACCCATCACCTCCAGATCTCTACAACACACTGTATTAAAACAATGGAAGCACAATGCATTAAATGTTAATGTTTAATGAAAGATATTATGTCTATAAATAAAAAAATATGTAAAAAATACATTTATAGATTTCCACACTTAAAAAAAAAATCAAGCATAACTGATCAAAAACCCTATCTTTTAAGACAATTTGACATATAACCACATATGTGTGAGATACCTAAGATGGACATTGCTTTAGATTGAGACTTCTTACACATGTATTATTTGCTTAAAGCCCACCTACAAGTATATACTTTTTTTTAGAAAATTGCTAGCCCATTATACCCAAAATGAAGTTTTGCAAGCTGTACTCATCCTCCCCACACTGCAGCACTGCCCTCTGTATCCTCTGTACTCCAGTGCTGGTCTTCTTCCAGATTATACTGATCTCCAGCATCATTCCACCCAATTCCTGTGAACCTAGGTTGTAATGTTTACACTCTCTGCTCACAGTACTGCTTCACGGAAAATCACTCACACGTCAATATGTGAGCACCATTTTGTTGCAAAGACCACCGATCACTGGAGGACCCGTTAAGCAAAATTAGGAGCTTTTATTTCTTTGAAATGATACCAAAGATTGGGAGAAATGTACTAGAGTCAATGCGGAAGGCGAAATTAAAGGTTTAAAGGGTTACTCAACTATCCTGGGCCTGTTCTTGTGTCATACAATGGGCCATAGATAGCCCTATTAATTTGTTTTCATAGAAAGATCAAAAGCAGACAGTGAAAAAAGTAAAAGAAATAATAATAATGTGACAATATACAAATAATTGTGAAATACATATAATAAAAAAAACACAAATACAGAGAACACTACCGATTTATCTAAATCAATATTGTATTTCAGCGAACATGGTAATGCACACAGCTAGGGTTGAATAGGCCAATTAAGTTTCCCTTAAAAACCTAAACTACAGCGCATAGATGTGAACCTTCTACATATGAAAACATTGTATTTCTACTCGAAATGCAGTTATGTGCAGTAACATGGACAAGTGTTAGTAGTCCTACCATCAGCTTTCTATTGCACACAAATTAATTTGGCTTACCATTAAACTCTTTCCCCCACCCTCTAAAGAACAAACTTTGGTTACCAGGAAGAAGACATCAGCCAACAACAACCTTACAATCAAAGAGCAAATTCAGGCGAACCTGTGAGATTACGTTCACTATTTTGATGTTTTTTTATTCTGAAAGGAATTCTCTTTTATCACATATAATCTTTTCAACACAGTGACAGCTTGATGATTTTTTTTTGTGTGTTGTTTTTGATGAAGCATTCTATAGGTATCTTCAGGGATTGTATATCACAGCTTGTGATCCCAGAAGGTGGTGTCATACTCAGAGCTGTCATTGTTTTACTGCTCTCTCCACGAAGGAACTGCCAGTCCATCAATCAGTAACCTTGTATTCTGCTCTAATAATAGCTGTGCCACAAACATACAGTTCTATTGAAGTGTAAGACATGAGATTAGGCTATGTGGCTGTTAAAGACTGCTGTTAATCACCAACAGACTGTATACATTCTAGTATGTAACTAGTGGTGGGTTTTATTGATCTGTAACCTCAAAGCATAATGCAACATTGCAAATGCAACCGGATTTGATAATAAAAATACACATTTGTAATGCCTGCTGTGATGTTTTTTCTATCTGTTTGGAAAATATAAAGGTATAATAATTGCTCATATTCCATTACTGTGAACATTTTATATGAACTGCTTCGCTGTGCTAAAGCGAACCAAGCACATAAGGGCCGTGCTGCCTTTCACGAGTAGGACTAGAATTTATGCAGTCTTGTCTTTAACCCGTTTCTGATCACAGTCTGTTCTTAGCAATGCTGCACTGTACATGGAAGGAACACATTTCAATGTAAAATTAAGAGTGTGTACCAGTGTGCATGCTTCTAGTTTGGAGACAGCACAGTCACTGACACCTCCTGGTGGCAACTAAAAATCAGGAACCAATCTATTTATTATACAGTTATATGATCACAATGACAGCCAACCATGATGATCACGTGAGATTTCTTTAATACAAACCTTCTGGCTGCAGTTGTCACAGAGATGTGCATGAGGGATGCAGCTGCCACAGTGTAATTCATGTGTAAAAATAAAGGCATTCATTGCAAATTAATAAATTATTGATTTTTAACCATTATAATTGTTCTGTGTAAACTTAACCTGATTTACTAAAGGAGCAGAGCATGTTCACTTTTAAAAGGGAACTGTCACCTTACTTAGTGCAGGGGGTAAACAAAGTGAAAATTCACATAGCAAAGCATAGTTACATAGTTACATAGTATTTGAGGTCGAATAAAGACATAAGTCCATCAAGTCCAACCTATTGTGTGTGTGTGTGTATAGGTCCATGAGTGTTCTCATTCTTAAGAGTACATGTACCCTTGTACATTTCGGTCTCTCAGGAATTCGTCCAAAAGCTTCTTGAATGATTCCAGACTAATTGCGGAAATTACTGCTTTCAGCGAGTTCCAGTACTGCAGTGAGTTCCAGACCCTAACCGTGCGAACTGAGAAGAACCCCCTTCGCCCCTTGTGTTTGAATTTATTTTCTACCAGTTTCAGGTGGTGTCCTCTCGTCTTTGTTACGGAATTAATCTCATAGAGTTTGTTGCTAATGTTGCTATGACTATGGAACATTTTGTACATGAAAATCATGTCCCCCCTTAATCTCCTTACTTCCAACGTAAACATGTTTAAATTTATTAGGCGTGTCTCATAGCTCTGGTGCTCCATCCCCTTTATGAGTTTGGTTGCCCTCAGCTGGACTTTCTCCAGTTCAAGGACATCCTTTCTGTGGACCGGTGCCCAAAACTGCACCGCATACTCCAGGTGGGGCTGAACCATTGATGTGTAAAGTGGCAAAATTATAGACCTATCCCTGCAAAATATTCCCTTCTTGATGCAGGGCAAGATTCTACTAGCTTTGCTTACAGCAACCTGGCACTGTAATCCATTATTCAGTATATGGTCTACAGTGACCCCCAAATCTTTCTCCATTTCCGACTTCCCTAGCGGCATACCCATAATTGTATAACCCATTTGCCTATTATTCCTCCCAAAGTGCATAACTTTGCATTTATCGACATTAAACCTCATCTGCCACATAGTTGCCCACTCCCCAATTTTATCCAGGTCCTCCTGCAATGTTACACTATCTTGGTCTGTTTCTATTACCCTCCCTAGGCATATGCAAGGACATATTTTTTAAAATAGATTTTTGTTTACACATAGTTGGATGATTGAAGTTACCACAATTTCACTTCTTATACTAAGCTAAGTGAAAATCCCTTTTGATTTCTCTTAGCTTAGTGAATGAGATAAACTGGACTAAACCTTTAGTCATTCATCAAACTGGAGGTTTAAAGTGCAACTGAAGCCAAAACTGTTTTCCAGGTTTGGATAAAGTGAATAGAACACCTGCCACCTGTTTCTGTGTCCTCATCCTTGAGATTTGCTCTCTCTTTTATCCTGGTGTATGGTATCACTGAAAGTGAAAGAAAATCCCAATTGATGGGTTGCCATTGGCACAGGAATAGATGGGAAATTGTACAATGGGGACACTAGTTTTTGTGACCCTGCTGACCACCAGGGATTACCCTCACTTTGGAGGGATTTCCGCTCACTTCCTGTTGTGGCTATTGGACAGGAAGTAAAGGGAATTCTCCCCAATGGGACACAGATGGCAAAAAAAAAAGCAGACAGGAGTTATAACACTCCCTTAACCTGGCCATACACTGCTCTATTTTTTTACCGTATATACTCGAGTATAAGCTGTCCCGAATATAAGCCGAGGTACCTAATTTTAGCCAAAAAAACTGGGAAAAAGTATTGACCCGAATATAAGCCGAGGGTGGGAAATGAGGCAGCTACTGGTAGATAGATACCATTAAAATACTTTAATATTTATTTAAAAGAAAAATAACCTAGCTCTGTAAGTGGAAAAGGGGGTACAGGGCTACATATCATGTACTACGGATCATTTAACCCATTCATATTAGCAGAGGATAATTGTAAATCTATTGTTCAGTGCACTCTATATGTAGTATATACTGTATATATGCCTGCAACAATACATTTACAATGATCCTCTGCTAACATGAATGGGTTAAATGATCCATAGTACAGGGCTACATACAGATCATTTAATACATTCATGTTAGTATAATTGTAAATGTATTGTCTGCACTGTATTAGCAGTATATACTCTATATAGAGTATATACTGCTAATACAGTGCAGACAATACATAACTTACCTCGCCGAGCGTCGCGTCACTGCTGCTCGGTGTGCGGCGCTCCGAGCGGGGTCATCTGGCAGTCTCCGGCCACCTAAATTAGGACCCGGAGACTGCCAGATGACCCCGCTCGGAGCGCCGCACACCGAGCAGCAGTGACGCGACGCTCGGCGAGGTAAGTAAGAAGACGCGCTGGCGCTGACTCGAGTATAAGCCGAGGGGGGCACTTTTCACCCAAAAAAATGGGCTGAAAATCTCGGCTTATACTCGAGTATATACGGTAGATCAAAAACCGAGTGGAAAAAATAGAGCAGATTCCTCCATCAATGATATGAGTGCGTTGATAGAGGAATCCGCGCTGTTTCTTTTGTATTCTAACAGCGGCCACTGTCAGAATTCCCGAACAAAGCCAGTAGCTCATTGGCTGTTGGCTCTGTTCACACAAAAAGTTTCTGACTGGCTTCTTCAATCAGCTGATTGAAGAATCATAAACTTAATAAAAGTATACATGAATGTCTGTATGGACATCTCAATAAAATATGTAGCAGATTCAATTTTTTTAAACATCTGATATACTACTAATTAAAGCATGGATTGAGCTTACATGATAAGGTATCAGCTATATAAAGATGTACAAGCAAGATCTTCACAACATGCTTTGCACTATATTTCAGGTTCGAAAAGTTGTTCAGCAAGAAGGTTTTGACAGAAAGAAACGTGGATACAGGGACATCAATGACATAGACATCAATATGAATGATCCCCTATTTACAAAACAATGGTATTTGGTAAGTAAAAGATTTAGTATGTTTGAAATATTAATGATACAGGATAGTTATAGGCTGACAACAGTACATTTAGGATGCCAGTGTTATTAAACCGGGCAAAAATATGTATCAAGGTGTATGACTTTTACCAAGCCTATTGTAATATTTATAAGATAATACTAGTATCTATGACAATTTCGTATCTGCTTTTGAACTGTTCTTTTAGAAAAGTGAGGGGTTCCCTTTCCAGGCCCCATCATAAAGAGCAGTAGTATCCTTGTTCTGCTGCTTGCACAATGTGGAGGACTAAGGCACATCTTTGTCTAAGTTATGTTCATAATGATTGAGATACTTCCTGGATCAACATTCTACACTGTTATTCCTTCACCCTGGTTCACACCTAGGCGTTTTTGAGCCGTTCAAAAAGCGCTTTTAACTGCCCAACATGAGAAATCCCAAGATGTTGGGAAGTTAAAAAACACTTTTCCTCCCCATAGACTTCATTGTAAATGCCCACAGACGCGCAACAGGAGTATGTTGCACATATTCCTGAGCGTTTTTGCGCATTTATACGCGCGTTCTTCCATTGCCCACGATGATTTATGAGCTGCCAATCAAAATGTGCGTCTTCATGTACGCGCATTAAAACACGCATACATCCTGGTCACCACCTTTGTCTCTTCTGCTATTCCTGTTCAGTGCATCCTGGGACTCTTTGGATACAACTCCTCCTCCTGTACGCAAAGGCTCAGGTTGGATACACATCGCTTGCTGGCAGCCAGGAGATGTATAATGCGTTCATGGAATGCTCCGTCGGCACCCCAGTTATCAAAGGTTGTGGGAGAGCTTAAAGGGGTTATTCAATAGGGAAAGGATGGATGCGGAACTAAATACTGAATTAAAAACTTCAACATTTTTCAGGCGATGGAGATACTTCGCTACTGCCACATTTGAGAGTTCCAAATTGTCCCAAATAATGTCTCCATTTATCTTTACGACCTGGTACTTAAAGGCTCAACTGTCTCACACACTAGGAGCCTTGGAGGTCACCTGAGTTGTCTTCACTGCACTTAATTATAGAGCTGAAACGTAGGCAATCAGCAAGGCCTTATGCCACTTTTAACTACCATACTAAACTATGCATTTTATTGGTGCCTAAGTTGAGTTTGATTTTGTTTATGTTTCTTATATGGCTTTATCTTACCTTTATTGTCACATCTGCTCATACTCGGGCTGATTGTTTGTCTCATGTTTGGAGACTATTTGACCTGATAAACGAAAAAACTAACTTAATAAAAAATATATTTAAAAAAAACCACGCATACAAATATACACAACGCGCAAATAACCGCATGCTGCTAACGCGCATACAAACGCGCAAAGACGGTGCCGCTTATAAATATTGATAACCAGTTATATTGTGTGCATTTAGAAACATCCAGTGCTTTTTTGAAGCAATCTACTGAGTTGTCTAGAACTAGTTTCTGTGGAAGACTATTCCAGATTATTATTATAGCTCTTGAACTACCCTTTCTGCATTCGGAGGTTAAACCTCTTTTCTACCAAGTGCTTTTGCAATGAGCTTAAAGTGAACAACTATGCCCTTATTAAATGTTAAATTTAACACTTCTCTGCCATTTGCCAAACGCCATGCCTTATCATATTAGACCTACCAGTTCCAATTGAGTACACAGTAGCTTACCACAACATGGCAAATGTAAGGCTTTTTCTGTTGCCTATGTGCCTCAACCTGACTAACTATGTAACTATAGAAAATTCAAGATACCTAAAGCACAACTCAAAACAAAACATTTTTATAATTCTGTGTGTTTATATTGCTGTTTCTGTAACCACTAGGAATATTTTCCTGCACTTCCTTTATGCAGCAGAAACTTTGCACAATCACTTTAACAAGGGCACAGAAAATAATAAAACATGAAAAAATTGTGAAAAGGCGAAAAGCTCTGTCAGTTTTTTTGGCTTGGTGTGTGAGAGAAAATCACTAGAAACAGAATGTAAGAAGTCCAGATATGACTTAACCACCTGCTGTCCGGTCGTTGTAATTAAACGGCCGGACAGCGGCTTCTTAAATGCGGGTGGGCGTTTTTAAACGTCCCATCCCGCCCCGCTCGTGCCCGCTGCTAGGCAGCGCGCACGAACTGGAAATTGGCTTTGAATGTAAACAGCCAGCGATGGCTGTTTACATACAGGCGTTCGGGCGTCTGTAGAGACACCTGATCACTTGTACTTGCGCGCGGGTGTGCGCCCCCCTCCGTTGCAGCCGCTGCTGGTGATCCAGAGCTCCGCTGTTCCCGGTGTGAGCCCGGGACCAGCACAGCAGCTCTGCGGCCGGAGATCAAACGGAGCTCAGTACAAGATCTCCGTTTGATCTCCTCGTCGGAATGCAGGGAGTGATGTATATTACATCACTTCCGCATTCCTCTGTCACTCTCCGGTACAGAAACCGGAGAGAAGCTGGTGAAGCAGATCTGTGCTTCATCAGCTTCTCTGGGGGTCCCTAGGTGACATTAGGGGTCCTAAAGACCCCTGATGTCTCCATAAAGAGGACCTGTCACTGCAAATTGGCTATCACATAGGGAGCTTGTTTGCTCCCTATGTGATAGCAATAAAGTTAAGTGAAAAAAAAAGGTTTAACAAAATTAAAGTTACAAAAAAAATTAAAAAATTAAAAGTCAAATATCAAAGCAATAAAAAAATTAAAACCATTTTTTTAAAGTCCCCTGCCCCCACATGCACATGCAAACATGCGTAGAGTCCGCCTACGTGCGAAAACGACGATTACATCCACTGCGCCTCACATGTTACATATCGCCGTGAACGTCGGAGTGAGAGCAATAATTCTAGGGCCATTAATCACTGATAACACTAAACTGATGAGCGGTAAAAGCTTTTAAAGTGTCGACTGTGGTAAATTTTGGGTATGGTAGTTTTTTGCGATTTAGTGAGTGCGCGCAATTTTAAAGCTTGACATGTTGAGTGTATCTGTCACTCTCCGGTACAGAAACCGGAGAGAAGCTGGTGAAGCAGATCTGTGCTTCATCAGCTTCTCTGGGGGTCCCTAGGTGACATTAGGGGTCCTAAAGACCCCTGATGTCTCCATAAAGAGGACCTGTCACTGCAAATTGGCTATCACATAGGGAGCTTGTTTGCTCCCTATGTGATAGCAATAAAGTTAAGTGAAAAAAAAAGGTTTAACAAAATTAAAGTTACAAAAAAAATTAAAAAATTAAAAGTCAAATATCAAAGCAATAAAAAAATTAAAACCATTTTTTTAAAGTCCCCTGCCCCCACATGCACATGCAAACATGCGTAGAGTCCGCCTACGTGCGAAAACGACGATTACATCCACTGCGCCTCACATGTTACATATCGCCGTGAACGTCGGAGTGAGAGCAATAATTCTAGGGCCATTAATCACTGATAACACTAAACTGATGAGCGGTAAAAGCTTTTAAAGTGTCGACTGTGGTAAATTTTGGGTATGGTAGTTTTTTGCGATTTAGTGAGTGCGCGCAATTTTAAAGCTTGACATGTTGAGTGTCTCTTTACCCGACGTGACCTTGTCAATAAATTGGGTAATAATAAATGTTTTTTAACATAACGTAGGGAGAACAGGTTTTTAAAAAAAAATTCGGTACTTTGGTATAAAATTCATTTCAGTACAGCGTTGCATGACGGAATAAATGTCAGTCAAAGTACCGCAGCGCTGAATACTGAAAAATGGCCTGGACAGGAAGCGGGTATAAACACCCAGCAAGTGGTTAATTTAGAATCTTACACCATAAAGAGCCAACACATGTTAATAATTCATAGGGCTTCACTTCGTCAGAGCTTGGTAATGTAGAATCAAACTTATACTAGACGAAAATGATTGGAGAGAACTTGAGGGTTAATTAATAGGACCACTACAGATGCTGATTAATCAGCCAGGGCAACAGGTTGAAGCTGTTCAACTGGCATCTGGAGCAATCATATTTATTAACCCTCAAGATCCCTCAGATCATGTTAGTCCAGTATATTCTTTATTCTACACTACCAAGCCCTGATTAAATTCTGATTAACCTTTAAGTTCCCTCAGATCATATTAGTCCAGTGCATGCTTCATTCTACACTAGCCCTTTGGAACCCCAAAATGCTTTTGCTTTTTATGGTACAGGATTGTAAATAAAATAAAATCCTGACTTCTTACATTCTATTTCTTGCACTTTCCTTCTTATTCAGATATCTGTAAAAAATAAATCAAAGCAACTGGACTTGCTGTATTTTCCTTGAGAAAGCTGGTTGGATGACCAGTGAAACGTCTCCAAGAAAAATACAGCAAGTCCAGTTGTTTGATTTATTTTTTACAGATACACCATGACCTGGATAAATGAGAACCTTCACAGAAATATTTCTCACGCAGATAGCCCTTACCTGAGTTAATAGCTAAGCCTTGGCTACCCTGCCAGAGTCAGCAGCACCGGCCTTAGGCGTGTGCGAGCCGTGCGGCCGCACAGGGCGCCATGGCAACAAGGGCGCCGTGCGGCCGTCACAGCTCGTCCTGTGGGCGGCTTCTCTCCCCCTCACCGCTGGCCATCCGATATGACAGCGCTCCCTCGGGGGGCGCAGGAGGAAGCGCTGCCTGCTCTCAGGATGGCGGAGCGGTGAGGGGGAGAGAAGCCGTGCCCGCAGCTGTCAGAATGGCCGAGCGGGGAGGAGATCGGAGCCGCTGACACACT